TAGCGGCTGACGTGTGACCGGTGCTGCTTCAGGTGTAAACGCCTGCGGAGAGCTCGGGGCCGGGGCGACCGGGGCCCTTCGTCTCCTGTGATCGTGTTCCTCACCCTACCGGTTATCCCCGTGTTGGGAGCAGCGGGGGGAAGCGGCGTGGTCAGACGTAAATGCAAAGTTTGGTGAAGTTCAGGTGAAACCCAAGGCTTCATTTGAGGCCCTCCCGTAGCAAGAAAGCACCGCACCACCACCGAGCCTGGGAGAGCAGGGTTAGTATGCCCTGCTCAAGCACCCTCTGCTCTCCTATTTTCCCCTGGCACCTGGATTTAGGGGGAATCAGGCACGCCCATCATGTGCTTCTGCACCCTCAAGGCAAGCCAGATCTATGTCCCGTCCGGCCATACGGAGTCTCTTACCCTTTCAGAGAGCCCAACAAACCGCCAGGCCGAAGAGGGGCGGCTGGGACACTGGAGCTTTGAACGGTTTTGTTCCCTAAGACACATGGAGATAACTTCCTCTGCCCGGTTTCTTCATTTCAGGTTTTTCCCCACAGCTGCTGTTAACACCTTGAGGGTTTAAAGTGATTTGGGGCTGAAAGGATGGATTAATTTCTGTATGTTCAACTATAATTTGTAAAAAACCTCTTAAAAGTGGATTTTGCAATACTCCATAGCCTAATCCCGGAGTTTGCTATGGAACTGAGTTCTTAGATACTTTTTTTTTCTGTTTTGGCATTTGTATCTTTCTAATGAAACTATTGGGTTTAATAGGAATAATTTGCATCCCTCTAAAATCAGTCTGTTAGATCAGGCTCTGTTACAAAGCACCAGCAAGAGCCGCTGTGTTATAGCCGGTGTCACTGCAAACCGCAGTCCCGCAGCTCAGGCAGGGAATGAATTTCTACGGGAAGACCCCTAAGTGACCTTTGTATTTAGCAGTCTAATACGAGATTGTGTTTATGAAAGTGTCCACCTAACTGATTTCACTTAAATTATTTGATAGCCTTCCCTGTACGAACTCTAGCAATTTTTATAAGCAATTTGAAAGTATTTATTGGTGCAAGCAAATGCTTAGTTTGAAAGATAAAATAGGATAACACTACTATAAAATACTCATTTTTCCACTTCTGCCTGGCATAACTCACTCAGAAGTGAACAGCTCTGCTTGAATCAGTCGAATTGCACAGACCTCTCATACCTGTGTGCAGCACGTGTAAAATCCTGTGGGTGCACACCAGGGGATTTCTGCTTTGCCTCCAACATAGGCAGGTGTAAACACGGGGCCAAGAGGGGCCACAGCATCCACAGCATCAGGGCAATTATCCCAGCGCTGTGATGAGAAGTGACACGCTATCTAATCTGTAAGTGCGGCACTGGACCTGGATCAGGTAGTTCAGGAGCAGGGTGGCAAACCAGGATTTTCTTTTCACATTTCATCCTGCCTTGATTTGTGATTTTTGAGCCCTTCAACTTCTGCGTCTTGGTTCCCAGATGAGAAAAATGGAGATACTTCTAGTTGGTTTCATATTTCCTCTCCTCCCTGCGCAGAAAGATACTGCACCTCTGATTGGGATAGTTTGTTTATTATGAAGAATTGTGGATTAAATGCTGTTTTAACACAGGGATGTTTTTATTAACAATTCTCTCAAACCGTGGGACACGGTGTAATGTGTTGGGACAGTAGCAGGCATTGGGAGGAGCAAATGACAGAGTCCCCTCAGATTTTAACCTCTCCATCTAGGATCTGCTACTTCTGTGCAAGTTGAAAAGATACAAGCTCTAGACATTAGCAAAGCAGCGATTCAGTGTAGTCTGGGATCAGCAAGTAGCAGCTATTGTTCTCCAGAGTCATGGCTTAAATCCAAATGCTACACACTGGGTATGGTATTTGTATCAGTGGCGTTTTCAGTCTCAACATGCAAGATGAGAAAGTCACTGTTTTAAATGGTTACTCCTTTGGGAAGGGGAAAATGAGAAGATGGACTTCTGAGTAGAGCACTAGTGAGATGGCACCCTATCCTCGGTGATAAATGGGAGCATTAACAAGGCTTGGTCGAGAGGAACCCTACAGATTTATGGCTTCCTGTCTCCACCAGCAGATGCCATTATGGCTGACAGAACAGAATGCCTTTCAAGAGGGAACTGGGGTGGGATTATGAAGAAAGGGAAAAAAAGCAAGCAGAATCTGGTGTCCATTTTTATCCACTGGTCAGAATTCACTGATAGGTTTGAACAGAGCTGAAACTATACACCATTTGTGTGCTCCCTGCTTCTGTTATTTATAACTAAGTTGGTGAAGGTCATTTAGCATCTCTTTCAGCACAGGAAGAACCCATAATATTTACTGAAAGCATTTTTGCACACTTGAAAATTAGAGATAATAAAATGAACAGATAGCACTGGAGGCTTCCTTGGCTTATTCAATGGAATAATCTTGATGGGTGCTTAATGTTTACTTTGGAAATGTAGCAAATGATTCTGAAGCTATATTGAATTTTATCTATTTTTATTACATTGCAGAATAATATTTCTCTTTCCTGACAAAATGTTATGACCAGTAATAGCAATGGCAGTTATGCATGTTCAAAAAAGAGTAATCAAATCTCATGCTTCAGGGCATGAGCTGAATTCCCCACTGGGATCCGGAAGGAATTTTCTCCCCCCAAATATAGCAATATACAATCAACTAGGTATGTTCTTACAGGTTTTCCAATATCTTGGTTAGGTGCAGATTACGTGGAACAATAGTGTGATCTGGGATAGTGAAAATCCTCTATTGCTATAGCTTTGGGGTGGTTTTGGTCTGATTTTTCAAAATAATGTGTGATCCGTTTTGCATTACAGTAAAGTTTACAGACATTTTTGTGCACAATAAAGGGCCAAATATGCTTCGTGTACTTGACTTTGATAACAGTTCCCATCGTGAGTAGTCACAATTAACTCAGCTGTGTTACTTGAAGTGTCTTACCTTACTTATTTTTGTTGTCTGTCTTTCTTTCTCTGGCTGCTGTGCTGATAATTAAATGTGCGAGCGTTTTTTTTTCCACCTTTTTTTTTCCCTAGAAGTTATATATATGTAGGTACATAACTCATCCTGAATGAAATTCATCTCGGAGTTGATGACCCCCTTCACGCTTTGCCTACCGCTTTAGAAAAAGAAAAAGTGGAAATTCTGACAAGTTCTGCAAACAGAAAAAAAAAGTTAGAAATTATTTGCGCTTGATAAATGAAAATTTTTCAATATGTAGTATTATTGCCAGCTGAAGACATTGTCAGCGTCAATGTTTACTTCCTTCTTACTCAAAATTACTGGGAAAAAAAATTATTTAAAAAAAAATTGGGATTACAACAATTTTGAAAGAATCAACTTGACAGACAGACTGGGGATTCCTTACAGAAAAGAGGGTATCTTGGTGTGTTGCCCGGTGCAGTCCTCTCTGCCC